TCTAAACAAGATTGCAATCATAGTGGTTTTTACATTAGAAATCTGCCTTTGGCTTTGTACTCAAATGAATGCTAATTCCTCACTTTTCTGCAGGATCTTCCCGACACGCCAAGTCTTCTGGAGGTTGTTAAAATGGTCAAGCCAAATGCCCTTATGGGTGAGTTCACCACATTTAACTTCATCCTCCTAAGAAGGCTCGTCTCTCGCTCACCTGCGCGGTTCCAAAACTCCTCTTGACACATTTGGGCCGGCTTCACTTAACGTACTAGAGAATCTGCAGAATCGAAGAGGCGAGTCATCCTGACTCGACTATTAGAGCTGCAGTCTGGGTGTAGTTCAGGACCTTCAAGACGAAGCATGGCGAGAAAGGGCAGACGAGCAGAGTACCTCCTAGCTAGTCACCTTGTCGCATTGGATTAGATGTGTTTGGTGCGAATGCCGCACGCGTGCCCCGCTCAGAGCGTCTACGTCGCCGTTCTCAGCGCTCCACAAATATGCTGACAATTGTGAGCTGCACCTGCTGCTAGAGACCGGAACTACTGAATGATATCGATTTCGTCAGCGAAAAGAAGGCCTTGAAGAGCTGTCGTCCACGCTAAATCATTTCCTTTTTTCCTTTGCTCAATCTAGTTTTAATCAATGATTCACAAAAATTTCGAATCTGTAGGCACTTAGCTGCTACTGCTCCTATGAATGTATACTGCAGTATCGGTTTCAAGGTATCTCAACGGTGCACGGTGCCTTCACGCCAGAAATCCTTCGCGAAATGGCCAAGAACAATCCCCGTCCAATCATTTTTGCACTTTCGAACCCAACAAGCAAATCAGAATGCACAGCCGAGGAGGCCTATAACTACACTAATGTGAGTTTCTCAGAATTTATTTGAGTTGATAAAAAATTTGATATCTGCTTTCATTTATTGGGTCCTTTTAGGGTACCGCATTGTTCGCATCAGGTTCTCCCTTCGACGATGTGGAGATGAACGGGAAGATCTACAAGCCTGGTCAAGGCAATAACTCATACATCTTCCCCGGTGTCGCACTGGGTGCTGTGCTCTTCAAGGCTAAACATATTCCTGACAAGGCATTCCTGATTGCTGCTAGGGTACGTCAAACTATCTTGTTCAATCTATACTATTTTCTACTTGATTCCTTTCAATCCTTAGTACCCTCCAACTACTACTAGTCCAAAAATCCAGCGATATCCATCCTTTGAAGGCAACCTGTGCACTCACTCCTGCAGGCCCTAGTCCTTGCCATGCGTGGGTAGTACGGGTCCACAGTTGCAGTAGCGTGCCACTTTTCCGAACGCTACTGTCTGCGCCAACTTGCTGCTGGTGTCTGCGC